CCTGGAAGTGTTTCTCTTTGGGTTTCAGATGTCCGAGTATGGGTCAAAGGTAGGAGATGGTTTGCAGACCCTAGCGCAGTTTTTCCTATAGGGATTTGTGGAGCTAGCATTACTTAGTTGGAACTCATTTGGTTCAATTTGGACTCTGTCTGGAGTGTTGAGCAGGGGGACTATGGTGGGACAAGTATTGACAGTACCATTACAAAGATAATACAAGTGAGGTGACTTCTCATTCAGAATTCACATACTGTGTTGTTGTACGGGCAGTCATAATGTCATCTGTATGGTCCAGAACTGAGCCAGGCAGAACACTGTCAGCCCCTGGTACAGGGTGTTTGCTTCTTAGGCTGTGGGATAATAACCCTCAGATGGACTCAGGGAGGAGAATAGCCCGTCTGTGCTCACTGCTGAGCCATTCTGACTCCTGCCTGGAGCTAACACCACTACCCAGTAACGCAGGGACTACTCTCTATCTTTTTCCCCCTTGTCTCCTAATACAAAGTTTAAAATATGGAAATTCTTCTCAATGCAAATATTTTTAACTTAATCTACCTCCATCCTTTCTCTAATCTTCTTCCCTCTGCTCTTTGGCACTGCAGATGTAGCATTTTCTTGAGCAGGTGGTGAGCTGGTTTTTTGTTCTCGTTGACTTTGGACTCTTGAGTAGTTTGTCTTCCAGCACAATCTTAAGTAGTGACCACTGGTATGCTGTGCCCTGGTGGCTTTTGCGCTGTTGAATGTGGCTTGTGCGGCTAAGGCACGGGACTGACTTCGTCATTTTTACTAGTGTATGCTGCAAGGAAGCAGCAGGCATTTTCAACTGCTTTCTTCTAGCTACATTTGACTTCGGGCTCATAGCAAAGTTGATGTTCTGTGAGCATAAAATGCCTGCATTTAAAGACAGTGTGTGAATTGTGTGCATTGATACATGTTAAAATGATTATAATATTTAGTTGTACTACTTTCTTATAGTGTTAACTTGCTCATTGCAATGGCAGAATCCCTGGCAAGACCTCACAGGGTCAAGATACTTGGCATTCATGCTGCACAGGTGGAGGGAGGCTCACAACAGCCTCACCCATAATTGAACAGCCATTGGCAAATGAAGTACTGAGGGAGGGAGAGTCAGTTTTCCCTGAAGGGGTATGGCTTCTCTTTGCTTGACCTTTTTCCCATAGGTGACTTAGACTCATACACGTTTGGGCAGTGCTGTTTTTGGACTTGGAATTATTTGGAGGTGGGCATAAAGTTGGAAGGGAGAACGTAGTGGGGGTATTCCCAGAGGAGTTGGAGGGTGGATATGATCAAAATACATTGTATATGTGTATGATATTCTCATTGAATAAATTTTGAAAAGTTTTGCACAAAACTTGAGGGAAGGTTTATTTGGTTCTTAGTTCCGTAGGACTCAGTCTTTGTTCCTTGGTTTCCCTGATTATGAGTCTTTCCTGGTGGTAGGAGACTGGCTTTGCCTTCAAAAGCATGTCCCACTGCCTTCTTGTCCAGCAAAGAGCTCTTCCTCCTAAATTTCCACAATAAGAAGTTGCTGGCTGGGAACCAGGTATTTGGCAGAAGAGATTTCGAGGAGCATTTCATGGTCCCCCACCCCGCCACTAATAAAGAAGATTAGTTTTCTTCTTTCCTTTTTACTTGGTTAGCCTGGGTCTTGCTACATTTGAAATTATGCATACTGTTCTCTGTGCTCATCTAGCAGGGGTGGCTGCATACCCTTGCCATCATTGACATTGGGCAGGTCACTCTGTGGGGTCGGTCTTGGTCTCCTGCAGCCTGCCCAGCACTCCTGGTCATGCCTTATGCAGCCTGTGCCAGAAACCTTCCCTCAGATGGACAGACTCCCTCCCCTTCAGGTCAACTGCCTCAATTTCTGCTTGCACCTGTGGTTAATTTCTATTGCCTTGGGTGCACAGAAAACCAAACACTTTCTGGAAGAGAAAATGTCTACTAGCAGACTTAAACAATCCAAAGTTTATTCAGCAAACACTTCTACTGCGGTAGATACTGTTTTAGGCATCTACCATGGCAGTGGATTAAAACCCAGACTCCTGGGACCTTCCATCCTGACTGGGTCAAAGTCACAGATAAACAGATTATTCAGGTGTCACATGATCAGTGCTGTGGAAGAGGGTGTAAGAGACAGGTTCAGGGAGGGTGGGATGTGCTGTACTCCCAGGCCCCTTCTGTGCTGCTTCTCCCCTCACTTCCTACTTCCTGTGTTCTTTCAGAACACCTATTTCCTTTGCTACTGGGTAGACATGTTTTCTAGACAGTTTTCTTGGGCTCTGGTTAGTCCTCCTACATAGCAATGTTAAAGACTGTTGAAATGGCTCTAGATCTGAGTCCCAGTTTGTGTGCCTCTTGGGGCTGCTTTGGCTGTGTGCCTCCTTGCACATTCTGCCATTGCACCTGTCGTCCTGGCAGCTCTGCAGCCTTCGATCATGGTCAGCAGCTTTGAGGTCATTGTTGATGCAAGACTTCTGCACAGCATCTATTCCAGTAGGCCAGTATTCCTCTCAGAGTTTCTGACCAGTTGATAGCACAGTTGTGGGCTGACTAAGGTTTGCACCTGGCTCTACGTGGCCCACTTAAGAAAGCAACAGTCTGTATAATAAGTGTTCACCATTCATAATTCCCTCCACCTCTGCTTTCTAGGTTTATTTTTGGATTAAATATCATTGCTAATGATTTGGATTTCTTGTAAATAAGTAATTAGTACATTTTTGTAAAATACCACTGAAGGAAAAGTAGAGGATATTCCAAGTGGGACTAGCAATTTCTAAATGGTTATTACCAAGATTGAGATCCAGAAATATCTTCTATTTTAAAAAATGCACCTGACAGCCAGGTGGTGGTACACACTTGTAATCCCACCACTACAGAGGCAGAAAGATTGAAAGTTCAAGGCTAGCCAGGATCCTGTACGTAGAGTTTGAAGCCAGCCTTGGCTACGTAACAAACCTGTCACAAACACATATCTTCAAGGCATTGATTGTCTGTGTTGCCTCTGTCTGGCCTTCAGCCAGAACAGCGGGATTTGCCTATACATTTAATGTAAGCACGTGTTGGAGTGATCCCTGCCCCCCCCCCCAGTCTGTATGAAGCATACCTCAGGATTACATTTCAGATAACCTGCTCCATGGACAGGAGAGGGAAGACATTGCTTATGTACACGGCTAACACCACATTATGAATTCCTGTGGGAGACAGTGTTAGGGATCTGTGCCCCTGGGATGTGCTGCCCATGTCAGAGACTGGGGGATATAGTTTAAATACTGGCTGTGGCCCCTGCTTTGGCATATTGGCTGATTGATGACTCTGCCAAATGGGTAGCACGTGTTCCTGACAGGAAAGATCTAGAATTTCACCATAAAGGTTTTGAAGTGATATTTGCTTCAAAACTGAAAATCTAATTACAGTTCAAATTGATGTAGGAGCTCTTTAGATGATAATGGTTTTGTTGGGTATTTTGGGTTTTGTTGGTCGTTGTGGTTTTCTTTTTAAATTTATTTTCTATGCATAGGTGTTTTGCTTGAATGCATGTCAGTGCACCACATGCATACCTGGCACCTGCAGAGGCCAGAAGAGAGTGCAGATTCCTTAGAACTGGAGTCATGGATGATTATGAGCCACTGTGTGGGTGCTGGGAATGGAACACAGTCCTCTGGAAGAGAAGCCAGTGCTCTTTACTGCTGAGCTTTCTCTCCAGCCCCTTGCTTTGATTTTGGAGACACAACTCCCTCTCTGTTCGTTATCCTTTGGCCTCACAGTCTACATGCTAGGACTATATGCATGTGTTACAGTGCCGTCTTTGATTGTTATATGTGAATATCTCTTAGAAAGCAGCTAGGAAGCTGACACCCCTTGTCACCTCAGTGAACCTGCTGTAGAAAGCTCAACTGGCAGACTTTTGTCCTCCCTTACTGCTCTTCTAATCCGTGTGGGTGGGTTTGAACCCCTGCCTACCAGGCCTGGCTTCTGAATGCCTGAAATCCAAGCTGGAGACCCCACTATGGACAGCACTGTCCATCTTGCTGCTTCCGGAGCTCTGCAGAGGCCTTGAAACTGCTCCTCTATTGAGGTCTTCCAATAGATGGGGGTTCCTCAGTTTCTTTCCATGTCAGTGCCCGGGCAAGGTTTGAATGTATGATACAGAGCTTTAGCTTTCTGTTGGAGAGAGTCCACTTGTTGGTTCCCAGCTGCTCAGCCCTGAAATAATCACACAGAAACTATGTTATTTAAATCACTGCTTGACCCATTAGCTCTAGCCTCTTATTGGCTAACTCTTACATATTAATTTAACCCATTTTCATTAATCTGTGTATCACCATGAGGTCGTGACCTACCAGCAAAGTTTCAGTGTGTCTGTCTCTGGCGGCGGCTCCATGTCTTCTCTCTGACTCTGCCCTTCTTTCTCCCAGCTTTCAGCCTAGTTTTCCCCACCTAGCTCTGTTCCCCTATAGCTCTGCTATAGGCCCATAGCAGTTCCTTATTACCCAGTGATATTCACAGCATACAGAAGGGAATCCCATATTAGCTTTCCTTTCCATTTTGACCATTTGTTTGCATTTCTCCATTAATTTTCTAAGGAGCTTTAGGATGGCATTTTGTGTCCTGCAGTTAGAATATGGTGGTTTGTTGGATCACAGTATAGCTGGTAGGGTTTGAGTCAGGTAACAGAAGCAGATATGCCAGCACACAAAAGAACATATGGGGGTTCTTTAGAGGGGAGGTAATCTGGCCTTGTCCCAAGGACCAGGAAAGATGAGGGCATGGCCTTCACTGCAGGGCTGAATACAAAGGGCCTGTTGATCTCTCAGAACTTACCAGGGATCAAACCAGCAGTGAACCGGTGTATGACCCTGATTTGCCCTGTCTGTGACAATGCACATTTTTGCACTGCATGCCTGTACTTGGGTCAGTGACAGCATGCTTTTCTTTCCAATGTCATCGGCATTAAAGTGAATCATTTTTATTTTTTCCAGAACAAGCCTGCCTTCACCCATGTTCTCCAGAAACGATTTCAGCATCTGGAGCATCCTCAGAAAATGCATTGGGATGGTGAGTCAGCTTCTGCTTCCTCTCTGAGTCGAGTGGCTGCCTGTTTGATTGAGTATCCTTAGGAAGGGGTTCTTGAAAAAATAACATGGGAGTGTGGCCTACCTGTTGTCAGAATACCCATGAGAGTAAGAAATTTAGCTAGATTTTTTCTGAAAGAATCTGGATCTCTTTTCATACTATTTTTTTTTATTATTATTAAAAATTTCCACCTCCTCCCCTCCTCTTACTTCCCTCCCCTCCCCTCCCCCCACTCTCCCTCCCCCTCCTTCTCCAGGCCAAAGAGCAGTCAGGGTTCCCTACCATATGGGAAGTCCAAGGTCCTCCCCGCTCCCCCCAGGTCCAGGAAGGTGAGCTTCCAAAAAGACAAGGCTTCCACAAAGCCCGTCTATGCAATAGAATCAAAGCCCAGTGCCATTGTCCTTGACTTCTCAGTCAGCCTCCACCGTCAGCCACATTCAGAGAGTCCGGTCTGATCACATGCTCCATCAGTCCCATTCCAACTGGCCCTGGTGATCTCCCATTAGATCTGTCCCACCGTCTCAGTGAGTGAACGCATCCCTCGCAGTCCTGACTTCCTTGCTCATGTTCTCCCTCCTTCTGCTCCTCATTATACCTTGAGAGCTCAGTCCAGTGCTCCAATGTGGGTCTCTGTCTCTATCTCCATCCATCACCAGATGAAGGTTCAATGGTAATATGCAAGATATTGATCAGTGTGGCTATAGGACAAGGCCAGTTCAGGCACCCTTTCCTCTGCTGCTCAAGGAACAAGCTGGGGACATCTCCTTGAACACCTGGGAACCCCTCTAGAGTCAAGTCTCTTGCCAACCCCAAAAATGGCTCCCTTAATTAAGATATATACTTCCCTGCTCCCACATCCACCCCTCCTTCATCCCAAACATCCCATTCCCTCAAGCTCTCCCCACGCTCCCCTTCTCCCTTCTCTCCCCCCATCTCCCCTTATCCCCACCTCACCCCCACCCCCATGCTCCCAACCCCTGAGGGGCTTTAATGTGACTTCCGGGTAAGAAAATGCTTTTCTTTTGCAGCATGTCGAATCTGTATTTCTCTATATGTCACCTTAGAGGTTCTCTCCAAGAACAGAGCCACTACGTAAATTCTTTCTTTGCTTGGAGCTCTGTGCCGAACCATCTTTTGTGCTCTGGCTCTTGTCAGTGTGGTGTGGTGGATTATGGATTGTGTCTCTGCTGCATTGTCAGGACATGGGGTGGGGGTAGGCTAATCTGGGTGAGGCAGGACAGTGGCAGAATTTCCTCTTACTGGTCAGTTCTGCCACCTGATGCTAGCCTAGAGGTCTCTCCTAGTGTGATCTTGGACCATTAAGAATGATGATAATTGAATAACATGGATCTCAAGGAGCCAAGGATTCCACCTGAGTGAATGCTGCATTAGTATGTTCTGCCACTCTGCCCACCCCCAAGTTCTCCTAGTGTTCCTTTGCTCTGAGATTGGGCCACTTCCAAGGAGCTCATCCCAGAAAAATCCAGTTTAAACCAGTCTTCTGAATCCTTCACAAAGAATAATCCTGTTGAGCTTTGGGAAGCTGGAGTTTGATCTCAGTCCTGCCACTCCTTACTGTGAGACTGGTCAGGTGCTTGCCCCCTGTGCCATGCTGCCTCCTGCATCAAATCCAGTCACCAGCTCATGCTTTAGAGATGTGCACAAAGAGAAGGTATAAAATGTCTAGATGTCTGCTAGACTAGCACGGCACTCAGTGCATAGTGTCCTTGTGTCCGCAGCAACAGCAGCTGAGAGTCAGTGTGCCTCAGAGTTCCTTCAGTCATATTAGGGCTCAAGACCGGAAACATATATGGCAAATAATGCATGTAAAAAAGATGGTGATTATACACCCAGTAAGCTGTGGGCTAATAGAAGTCATTTGTTACTGACTTTAATACTCTCTTTATAACTGAGGATTCAAGACAAACATTTGTTTTCTGTGAAGTCAGTATTTTTCAGACCTTCAAACGATGTATATATCTTGTCATCTAGCATGTAGCTGTGAGTCTGCATGTGCTCCTAAAATGAAAACCAACTTCACAAGAGAATAATTACCATTACCACAGTGATTTTTTTAATATTAAAGTAATGCTGATTTCAGCTCATTGAACTGACTTCATAACTTGCTGATAAATCAGAACCCATGGTGTGAATAAGGCCAGTCTGTGCTCCTTTAGAATCAGTACCGCATCTGCCTTAAGACTGTGATGTCACGTGGCATCCTTCTTCTTGAGCATTATGGAAGATGCAGCTTTTCTATATCTCGTCTCAGCAGATGTCAGGTGCATGGTGGTGTCATTGTGTGGTAAATGTTTGCAGAGAACCATCAATATGGCTGTCTTTAGAAGTTACTGTCTACATTAGAAGTTACCTTCCTGAGTTAGGAGATGGCTCCATCATGTTGGATCAAGCCTGTCTTTGTTCTCTTGAGAACATGGCTATGCTTTTGTTTTTAGGTACGGTGCTATGTGTGCAAATAAACACTTCAATGAATCATAAATAAAATGAAACAAATACAGCTGTGTGGCTTGGTAGAGCTCCGTAGAGTGTTTTGAAACTTGTCTTAGACCTGACTGACTAAAGCATGGACCTGCTGACATTGTAGATTGTTAATGTGAGTTTAAGTGACGTCAGTAGCATGTGACTGTCCTTGAGGTACTGACTGTGGAAGGACTGCCTCTCCTAGGCAGCAGGAAGAGTCAGGAGGTGTAAGTGCTGGGCATCAACAAAGGTGAAGATTAAGATTTTGTGGTAGAGTAGTGTAAATGGTATCACCGTAGTGAAAATTGTGCTTTGTATATAACTCACTAATAAATACCTGTTTCACCCTGCCCCCCAAACCATCAAGACTTAGAAAATAGTAGTATTCTTATGTTTTGATGCCTTTAAAGAATTTTAAAATACCCTTTAATTCATGCCATGATTCTGTTTGAAAACCCGGGTGCGTGTCTTCTGCTGTCCCATTTCTTCCCTGAGCATTGTGGGATCTCTTAATTTGGTAATAAGATTTTGGTTGGTTGGTTGGATTCATAGGATCTTGGTATGCAACCTACTCTGGCTTTGAAGTCTGAATCCTCCTGCCTCAGCCTCCCAAGTACTGGGATTACAAACATTCACCACCATGCCTGAATTAGAAGTTTTCAAAATAACAGAAAATGTGACCCTTAGTCCTGGCCGACCTATTTACACTGTCTATGAGCATTGGGTCAGACTGACAGTGTGTAAGTGCCCCTGGTCGGCCATCTGAATTCTAGTTAATGGCATGCTGATACAGTGATGTATGGTGTAGAAATATGACTTTTAGAACTCACAGGAGGCAGAGGTGAACAGACTTCTGCAACTTGGAGTCCAGCCTGGTCTGAATAGTGAGTTCCAGGCCAGCCAGGGTTATATTGAGACCCTTTCTCAACAATTAAAACAAGACTCACAGGAGAAACTTATCTGCTAGGGACGGTGGCGTCTGATTTAGTGACCATAAGAAGGTCCCTGTGTTCTCCTTTCAGGTTCGCCATAACTAGGTAATCTAACTACAGCAAGAGTTCACTCCCTCAGCCCTCTCTGCCCCCAGTACACCATATTTTGCTTTATTTCTAAAAAGTATGGAATCTCACATTTCTCATGCCTGTGAAGCCTTTCTTTTCCTTTCCTTTGTCTCAGACAGGCTTTTGTTACCAAATATCAGATTACATTCCATGAAATAAACACTTTATATAACTAGAATCTGATATAAATCTCTTTGTGATTAAAGCTTTCATTAAGCCTGCTCTGCTTCCCAGCACTCCTGTGGCCCTGGCTCTTGGAAACCTTTGCTCTATTGTCTTTAACAAAGGTCTCCTTAGCCTGTGCCCCTTCCCCTGTCCCTGGTTGCTGAGGCTTTGTCAGGAGGCCCACCTACAGTTCAGCTTGGGTGTTCTTGCTCACAGCCTACACAGAGGAGGAGCACGTGGGCCAGGGCAAAGGCCCTTGCACTCGGAGTGGGCCTCCTAACCCTGTGTGCATTCCCTCGCTGACAGTACTGGGGCCTTAGTGCTTAGTCACTGTAAGAGATGACAAAGGTCTGGTTTATGATGAATGCTGACTTAAAATAAAGTTTATTATTTTTTCATATATTTGACATGCTGACCACAGTTTCCCCTCCCTCCTACCTTGTTTCCCACCACCACCTTCCTTCTGTCCACCCCAATCCGCTCCTCCTCTCCTATGAATGCTGACTTTTAAAAATGAAAGTCTGTAGCACTCTGAAGGGTTCTCTTGAATCCGCTACCACAGACATGTGCTTGCTGTTACCATATTTTTTTTATTAAGTACATAATCAAGGTGCTTTTGAATAGTTCAGAAGTATAACGTTCCATTTCCTCTTATACTTTGTATTTCTTACTTTATTTCCCACAAAATAATTAAGTTGCATTGAACTAATTTTTATCTCTATATTTTATTGATTACTTAGTATTTCACTATCACAAAATGTGTCTAAAGTGAATGTTACAATGACGATAAACTTTAATGCCAAAAGTTTCTTTGTGCCATTATTATAAATAGTATGTCAGTGATATTTCTAAAATATTAGCATAAATGTAGGGTGCTATTTGTGCATGAATGAGATGATCTTGTTGCCGTTAGATTCATCATGATAATGAGTAGCCATCTCCAGCTGCAAAAATGACAGTGAATTTTTGCTGCTTTAATAGATACCAAGATTAAGAAACTCTTTGCATATTAATAGACAGATGGGAGTAGGAGTTTGTGGGATTTTTAATGTCTAGGATTGTCATTCAGTTCTTTGTCCCTTAGCTATGTGCCAAAAATTAGAGTACATTATCAAAAATAATTTGTTATGATCTATAAGCTGACAAATCAAGTAGGACTTTTATTGTTTTAAAAACAGAACTTTGGAAGCCTTACAGAGACTTTTGCTTCCTTTTGTGACAGCCACAGACCTTGTGGTTTGGGGGAAATGCTGTGAGAGACTTTCTGGGGCTCAC